CTAAGAAGATTACTGATCTTGGTGGAGTCGTGTTGCGCCTCTTGTAGTTCACTAGTTCAATATGTACTTTTAGGAAATACACTATTCTTAATGTATTTTATATTGACCTCTGGTAGGAGTGGGCAACTAACAAAATGTTGTCCAAGTAATGGAAGGCTTGGATCCCTATCTGAGCTATTAATGTGACCAGGATCTTTGAAAAAGCACTGAAGAGCTGAATGTAAGCCTAATTAGAAAGTTTCTTCCTAGGAATTAAAATCGCAGGAATCTTCTTGTGACGCAGCTCCTGTACTCCGACCGAGTACCTCTACCCAATCCACCTTATAGCCATTGGAGATGGACCCTGCAACGCTTGATCCCAAGTCTCCAAAGCTTGACTGGGGCATCTCTGGAGCTCTTTTCTTCCAGGCAGGTATCGTCCACTCTACCTATTTCTCAATAGCTTTCCTTACAGGCAGGTATACACCTCTGCCTGCAATATGATAGCTATTGCCTTTACAAAGTCACTAGCAACTCTCAGGCCTGGCTCTTTTTATGACTTGCGAGCTAGAGGGATCATGTTGCCAGCCAACAGGTTTTGAAGACTGTGTTACTGTGTTCCCTAAAAATCCACACAGGACACACTGTTTCAAACAGAACTAAAATACTCATCTTTTTTTTTCTTCTTGGGATTAGCCCATAGGCTCATAACATGTAAATTTTGGTGACAACTCAATAAATAATACAAACAATCAAATCACATCAGATAACATACAGGAATTTATAATAACATAATGACATATTTATAAAGGAGTAAGGAAGACAATAATAACAACACAAAATATCTCTCCTGCAATATGAAAATCTACCGGACTACGCAAATTAGCAAGCCTTGCTTTTCAGGTAGTGCATATAGCTGTTGCTACCAACAGAGGGTGCTATACAGGCTCCATAGCCAAATTCACCTATTTGGTAACAAGCATCAGCAGGACAAGAGAGCACACAAAACAATTAACAATAAACAAACACATTATACATAACCTGCACCTATAATGAGCATTTATTTATTTATTATTTATTCTTGTGAATAAAAGCCCAGCATAAGTCTTAGACAGGAGTAGTCCAGGGTCCTACATAAAGTGTCCGTATGAAACTCAAGGGGATGGTGATTACTGCCTTTGCATCCTGGAGATCTATCTTGGTGAGCCTGTCTCCTTTGAGATGGATGAGAGGTAGTCCATCTTGAAAGTGTTGATCAGTGGCCTCCTGTTAAGTGATTTCATATCCAACATATATCTCCACTTCCCCATCTGTCTTCGAGCTAAAAATACTGGGGAATATACAATATGGAATCTTTCTCTCATAGGTACCTCTAACGGTTCTGATATGGGTGTTGTCATGGGTTCTATGTTTTGAGATGAGAAGTGAGATTTGACAAATCTTGGCTTAGGAATTGGGGAATAAATGTATGAAATAATTTTCAGTACCCAATAAGTCTGAAAAAGTGTTTCTTCCTGTGCCCCATCCTGAATATTGTAACTCGGCCTTTCTAGCAACTGAGCAGCTAGTTTTAAACATTTAGCAGATGTGCTCCCACCTGCCACATGGATGATAAAAGCATAGGGAGATTTAAAACCTCTCTTATAGTAAAACGGGGCTCTTATTGATCCCCATAGAGATTTTATTTAGTTTGAACTTTTTTATGTTGCTAGCAAGCCGCCACGTAATTAACCCTCACTTCTTAGCAGTAGAATCAGGAGCTTTTGGGGGGGCTGAAAATAAGGCCATGACGTTATTACTATGGGGATCCTGTGCACTCATATTTGCTCCCAACAAAAATGTGATTGTGTGGCTTACCTATCTGTTCGAGAGGCTGACTTGTGAGGTGCAGGAGAAACCATCTGCAATGTTCAAGCAAATGAATAAGGTCTGTGATTCCCATGGAGGATATAAATCTGCTACCAAACATAGAAATTGTCATTAGATTTACCTTTGAGTGGCAGGGAGGAAAAATAATAAGGCAGCACTAGAGATGCTGTGTCTCAACAATGGATTCAGCAAGAAAGAATGACAATTTAAATAACACGTCCACGCATGCACCCATCAGTCTGGAAGATGAGAATTTGACTTTGAATGCGCTGAAATGTGTCTGTTTGCTAGACCCTCCAGGGGAAATAGACTGGACCCCTCGTACTGCCATTATAGCTCACTGTAGATAAGCCACAAAATTATATATTTTTCCCTGAAAAAAAAGAGGAAGTCTGTAACTGGAGTGGACAGGAAAAATTGGGTAAAGGTTGTTTTAAATTAGATAACTGCTTTTTCCTAAATCCAACAATTCTGTAAGCGCTTAGTAGATAACTCCCTTATGAAGAAAATTGCTAGGGTTCTACACTGCCTATTTGTATAATTAACGTCAAAGATATAGAACCTGGCGGTCAAATAAGTATTGCTATATATGACAGCAAGCACACAGTTATGCTGACAGCAGCCTTCAGTGAAAATACAGTGTTGTGAAGATTTCAGTCCTGCAGATTTGTATCCAATATTCATCAGATGCAGATATGTACCCATACCTTAAAAAGATAAAAAATGCTTTATAGTGTAACACTGTTATGTTTATTCAGAAAGACACCAGGTTAAAAATTATGACATTGTATGAACGTGAATCATATGCCTATGGTTCACAAAGTTGGCATATATAATTGAAGATTATGCTAGCTTTAGTGTATTTATAACCTTAATTTTAGTAGTGACAGGATGTGAGTATTTTGCATATCTTTTTTTTTTTTTACTTAGCTCCATAGCAGCAAAGAAAAACACATAGAAACAAAGAACCAATAAAAAGCAAGTAGCGTGTATAAGGTACAGTGAATCTAAGCACCTCCTCTTTATTAATGCGACAAACACAGACAGAATGGTAACAACACATAAGCACATAAACACATTAACATATCAAAAGCCCACAAAATATCTTGAAATCCCAGAATTAGCATCCAGTAGAACAAGGACTCTGTCAACAGGACCTAAATATCAGGTGCATCCCCGGAAGCGAATCAAACTGAAAAGAAAATGTGTAGCATATTTAGTCATAAGGTAATAAGACGTCCAACAAATAAATACAATTAAAGCTGAAAGCCTAACCACGTATAATATAACAATAATAATGAATCCTAACCATGTATAACAAAACAAATCTAAATATTTACTCATATATCAAAAGTCTAGTACCATAAAAATCATTAGATACGGAAAAAATATAAACAAAGAAAACTGAGAAATCAAAACAATATAATTAACATCTCCAAACACGAAGAAAAAAATAGAAGCACATGTCAACAAGTCAGTGTAGAAAAGAGAAGAAGGGGAAAGAGAAGGGAAAGATGGACGGAAATTAAAGATCCCAAAGTATCATTGCTAGACGAGTACGTTGAATGTAAAATATCCGCAAGCAGAGTGCCTGACAAAAAAGTAGAAGAAGCCTCCACAACATGAACGGAATCCGTGCTGAAATAAGAATCTGTATCCATCAGGGACATGTGCCACCGTATCCACATGGCAAGAGTTGAGACTGATATTTATGCAGACACACGTAGGAAACGAGCAGCTGTCCCGAAGTGAAGGATCATAGAAGGGTTGTAACTTCTACATAACGGAGTATTGTAGAATCCACACATAACTGTGGATCAGAAACAACAAGCTAACTAAAAAACCAACAAAGAGTGCAACGAGAAATCAGAAAAATAATCCCTTCCGGAGAAAAGGAGAAAGCATACACATCAAAGGCCGAATGTCCAATACCCGACAGAAGGAAACCAAGTACGTGAGGAAGGTAAATTTAGTCGATAATTGACGTAGAGAGAGTCTGTCATTAACTGACCAGTCCAGTATAAAAATGCAAAATGAGACAAAATGTTCCACAAGTGAGAATACTTCAGGTCCAGGGTTCATTGAAGGCAAATGGCTCTCATTAAACAACATATGAGGAGATGCGTGCCAATAGGGACCGCTTGAACCGGAACATGAGCAGCTGAGATAGTGGAACATACAATGTTTATGCAATGATAGGAATGACTCAATTGAAAAGTGTTGACAGATAGTATATGATTGTGAAGACAGGTGTTGTAAATGGATCAAGACCAAGCTCCCTCTTTTTGAAATGTCTTTCATTCTGCCTGACTGAGTCTTGTTGTGCCTGCTACCTCCACACACAAATGAGTCCTGGAATTCCAAGTGGGGAGTTAACAATGTCTCATCCCTGGGGCCTATAAATCCCATAAGAGCAGCCTGCAAACATTTATTGACATGCCAAGAACCCATTAAAGAGTCTAAGCCACCAGAGGAAGTAGGTCTTCCTGAAGCAATTGGTGAGGGTTCCATCTTTTATGATGAAAGGAGGAGTGGGTCCTTGCATGACAATCCCAGTAGATCTGGGAACCATGGCTGGCTCTGCCATAGTGGAGCAATCAAAGTTATCATTACCTTTTGAGACCCTTTGTGATGAATGAGCCTCCCAATCATCGGGAAGGGGGGAAATGCATTCGCTTTGTGAATCAGGCAAGTCTGCAGAAAGGCATCCCCTGCATTGCACCTCAGTTCTCAGCCAGCTGAAGAAATCCGGCATATAATAATTGTTGCTAGAAGCAAACAGATCTAGTCTGAAGGGGCCTCTCCGCAATGAGAGGGAGGTGAACATCAGGGGATTTCAGTCTCCAGTCACAGCTGTTCCTCCAGTGTTGAGAGTACCAACCTGCAATGAAGTTGGTCTCTTCGGGCAGGTATTCTGCTCTCAGCAAGATGTTGCGAGGAAGACAAAAATCAAAGATGTCTTTTGTGATCTCTGAGGTGATTGATTTAATGGACTGCGGACATGTTGTCCATCTTGAGCAGAATGCAACAGTTGAATCTTTCCTTTGCCAGGCTGCTGAATGTAAACGATCCCACCATGAGTTCCAAACAATTAATGTGCAGATAAAATTCCTGAGCCTACCACACACCTCCCGTAGATAACGCTTCGCTTGTTGAGCCCTAGCTTTAAAGGCAGGCATTCGACTCCAGCACAAAGTCTGGTTGGTTGCCAAATATATTATGTATATTTGATATTTATTCTTGTGAATAAAAGCCTCTTTTTGTGCAATATTTCTGGTGGGCTTTGGGTTTATTCTCTATGTTTCTTATGGACCTGAAGGTTTTTCTTTCTCATTAAGCACCCTGCACCTTAACTGCATGCTTCACCAATTATAAGTTGAGCACTTGCTATATTGTTTTTTGTATATATTGGTTGCCAAATATGGGCAAATATGGGCCATATGCCAAATATGGGCGAGCGTTGGCCACTGAGAACCGGATGGGTAAAGGCAAATTTCTTTGGAGAGGGATGTCGGTGAACTTGATGACGTATCAATTGGACGTATCGAACGGTCTGCAAGATCCATGAATCTAATAACAGGTCCTCCCACTTCTGGGTAGAATAGCTGTGGTTGTGCAGAATGGTGGCAACACGGCCCCGGTGCTGGCCAGCCTTGCCAATATCCCCTTTGGCTGGTGTACTTCTAAAGACCTTTTTCATAGAGATATGTGCCTTGTTTTTTATGTCTTTGTGGAGCTTTTTCATGAAAGGAGCCTGCCTAATCATCTATGACCTCCGCATGCATCTCGAGAGGTGCATCCACACCATCATCACCCTCTGTCCTCTGGGGATCAGACGAGATGTGGGATCCAAGATGGCAGCTAGCAACTGTCAGATGGAATCAACAATGAGCGCTGAAGAACCAAAGCATGACTGGCACAGTGTGAGAAGTATGGTGGAGGATAGGGCCTCAGTAAAACTCCATATAGCAGATAAGGTAAAAATGGACCCCAGTGGGAAAACGCTGAAATACAGATACTCAGGCACTGTAACTCAACAGCCCCTAGAGAGCAGAAAACAAAGTGGGAGGAAGTGTGGTTATATATCCTTGCCTTTATTTAAAAGGACACTGTAGTCACCAAAACAAATTTAGCTTAATTAAGCAGATTTTGTGTATATATCATGCCTCTGAGTTTTCACTGCCATTCACTTTCCTCTGTCACTTTTCTCTGTTGGTGGTTTTAATGTTGTGGCTGATAAGTGTATGCCATTTAGGGACATGACAGAAAGGTCACAGTAATGCCAGTTTGGAACAGGTCTTCTACTTGTTAACCAACCTCATAAAGAAGATGGATGCCTTTATGAAAACAGAGAATTTGTTTCTGATGGCACACTCTACATTAATGTAGCAACTGTGGTCAGGAATCTGTAATATTTACTCAATGGTTGTCTGAGTGATCACATTGCTAATTGCCCTGAACTGATGCTAATTTCCCTGTGTGATTCTAGGTTTAAGGGGAAAGTGACAGTCCGATCCAACAGCCTGACATACTGGAGGGACAGGCTTATTTACACGGTCTGTGCATCAAAAGAGAGGTATGCTGGTTTAGATGTGCCTTTTTAATCCATTATGTTGTCATTGTCTCCGTGAAATGACGCTGGACGTCTACACACACTGCACACATCCAATGTCAGAGAAAACCCCATGGGAAAGCATTGAGGCAATGCTTTCCTATAGGGAAAACCTAATGTGCACTAGGGGGGACTGGAAAGGTGGTCACAGGGGCTGAGGAACACGTTAGTGTGCTCCTTTAATCTCCCCAAGTTGGGTTACCCTGCTCTTCACTGTGATACGTGAGGCATCATCATCTGCTAGCTGAGATCCAATTGATCACTCACCTCTCCTTTCAAAGTTGTTTCCATATTGTAAAAGTATTCTAAAATCTCGTGGTGAATAAAAATTAATGTAATTGAATTCCGTGTGCTACTGCTGTGGCTCCCTCGTTTTGAAATGTCTTTCATTCTGCCTGACTGAGTCTTGTTGTGACTGCTACCTCCACAGATAGTCACTGATGCTACAGAATGGATGTGCGGGAAAGCATGGTGGAAGGGGTGAGTGGGTTGTCAATTGCCTTCTGACTGTTTCCTTGGTTGTTTTTTTTTTTTTTTAAATCCTATTTTGAACCTGAAATGACTCTTGCCCCCCATTAGTCATTAATACAAGATAGCAAAAGGAAAAATAGATTAAAATCAGTTCTCTCATTTCCTATTTTTTTTTTTAGTCCAGATATGTAATAATCTAATTTTGGCAATCCAGAATCGGTATTGGAAAAATACATGATATTGTGCAGCCGTTAGGCCAAGTAATATTGTAGCCATTTTTTGTATTGGCACCTTTTTTCATTTTTTTTTTTGGCTGGACAAATTTCTTCCCCAAATTTCTTTTGGCGATACGTTTCTGCCAATCCAAAATGTTGCATGGACTAATTTGGACTAATTAGTTTGAAATGGTTCAGCACATCCCAATTTTTACTCTATGCACAAGTCTATTTTAGGAATCATATGAACAGGTATATCAGCCTCCAGTCATTGTTTCAGTTATGAGATCTTACGTTGATTGAACCTCATCTTTCAGATCAATACAATTACAAACCACTGTGTGCTGGGAAACGGTTAATTGGTACCTTCTTCCCCCATAAACTTTGCAATGCATATAGGTTCTTATAGTACTTAGTATACCATTAATGTACATGTGTATAGTGGCATTTCTATGTATTTTTTAATTTTTTAATTTTGATATTTTTCTATAGATAATTGGGACATGTATTAGTCACATCTTATCTGGACATTGCTGTTATGGATCTTTTACATTGTTGATATTTTTTCTAAAACCCTTTTTATGATATTTTTTTATTATTTAATACAAAGTTCACAGTCCCTCTGGTTTTGTCAAGCTATTTGCCAGCATGTTGACAAAAAACAGAGGATTTCCCTCACCCAAAGTCCGACACTTTGGAATGTGATAATAAGGAAGTTTCACTTCCTTATAATTGTTACAAAACTTCAATGGGTAAGCAGGATTTGTTTGCGCAAAATTACTGGTAGCCATCGCCTGGGTCAGTTTAGCAATTCTGAAAAATGTGTGGTGATTCAGCACAGTTAAATTCTGCTTATGGTACAAATATGTGCCCATGATTCCTTTGAAACCTGTAGCCTTCATTATGAATTATTTAGGAGTATCTGGTCTTTTTACACTCTTGCATGTAGTGAGAGACAAGGTTTGATCCTAACTAAGGTAGATCAGACTTCTGTTTTGGAAGGGGAACTGATGGATTAAACAAGACTATATAATATTTATTTATTTATTTATCACAAAATAGCATTTATATGATTGTAACAAGTTCTTCTTTACAGTTGTTCTGGTGTCTGTAGCCTGTCTCTTCAGTCTTAGCTCTGTAAATACCGCCTTTTTATAGAAAATACAGTGTGAATATCGGTGCGTAGTAACATCTCTAGTGGCAGTCACTCAGAAGGCCACTAGAAGTGCTTCCTTGTCTAGTGCTGCCCAGTGTGCAGCACCCATGTTTAGCATCTCCACTCTCTGCATGGAGACACTGAACGCTACCTAAAGAGATACATTGATCGATGCATCT